TGTTTAGTAACATGTAATAATGTTTACATATTATATTTGAAAACCACGGCATAATTGAAATTGGAGATCAAGTTGTATTCATTACCATAAAAAGACGTGTTAATTTATTTCCTTTGCATATTCCACATAATACTGTATGTTACCCGACTGACCAAAAATAAGTCCATACGTTGTTTTTAAATAGAAAATGAATGTACGACTAATTAATAGTAACTAGCCAAAATGCAGAAAATTAACACACTAATAATTATAACTAAATACATTAGATAATCACCAAATGTATAAACAGTCATTTCAGTCTTATTTCGATATATTTCACCAATGTTTCAAAATTAAAATCCAAAAGTTCCTTTAACAATGTAAATGGACTATCGCACCCGCATATAATCTGATAGATGTACATCTGATTACTCACTACAAGTATGACCTAATTTACTATGTATACTACAACACAATACTATGTGTTGTAGTACAAAAATTGCAATTGTTAACATCACAGACAGTTTATTTAACAAATTAAACAATAATGATTGAACTTAAGGATGAAATAACGTATAAATATAAATAGCATTTTTGTACGATTAGAAAAATATAACCAATGAATGGTAAACAATTAGTAAATCGTATTATATACTAATGATACATAGGCCTAATGAATATTGTATCGTGTTATTTTTTAATTAATTACCCATTTAGAAGCACCTTCTGCATGGACAAAAATAACACAAGCATGAAAATATGAAATCATGGACTTTTCCCGTCGATTCACTATTTTACAAGTCGGAATGTTACATGTTATTTACAAATCTTGTTCAGGGTTGGATTATTTTAAGTTGGGTTAGGTTAGTTAGAACCGGTGTATAACCTAAACCTTAGATTGTATGTAGTTACATATTGCTTATGTAGTGGTAGTTAACGGAAAATGTTCTCAATTGTTAAATAATATGTTGAATACTACTCTTTGAACGGGTAAACCACCTTTAAACAGGGAACTAAGATATTTACATTCATGATGTTTAACTACTAAAATTCTATTAAAATTTATTACTAGAAGCAAGAGAAAATAAATCAAAATAAATATTTAGAATTTAATTTAGCGCTGCACTAAGATGCTATAACACCATAAACACATAATACTTATAAAGTGGGGTAAAAAAAACTAATGATAAAATATTTAAAACATAACATAAAGTATATGTAAAGCATAAAATTTATTATTATCGCTTTTACTGCGGTCGTTAAACAAACACTTGCACTTTTTACTTATCAAAAGTTATCGCGTACTTTCTCCGTTTTGCCCACACTGATAAGCGGGAATCCCTGACCTAACCTATGACGCGTTATCTTTGTCAAGCTCTTATCAAAACGTAATTCGGCACTCTCTAGTCGTTACTTCACTGATAAGAGCACTGAGTGATAAGAAGGTTCGGTCGTTGACTCCAGTCCGCTATCACTTAGCGAGCTAACACTGTCGTGCTGACGATGCATAGTTATCGGAAAAAATAGAGCAAACTGTATAGAATTCTAATTCAATATTTATAGTTTATTAAGTAATAATTAAATTCAATATTTAAATGGTTGTGAACACAATAGCACTAATGGTAGGTGATTGAATCCAAAACGAGTTCTTCACGATTATACTGTATGCTTCTAAATTATATCCTTTGTAACAAAGTTTTACTAACAGTTTTGAAAAATGTCTGGTTACCCAAAAATGCTTATTTGCAACTTAATATTGCAATTGCGATTACGCATTGTTACAAAAATATGTAAACAAATCCACGAAGTAATCCTTTGCCTCGTGAATTCGCTTTACAACCCTTGATTTGGCAAGTTTCTCTAGGAGAGAGCGTTTATTGCCTTAACAGCTAGCTTCACTAAATCCTTAATTACATAAGTCTTATCATAGACCACTACAAGAAATAGTTAGCTCGCAATCGACTTAAGTGCATTTGTATGAAAACCACTCACTCCAGAGTTTCTTGCTGTCAAAATCCATAGTACACACAATGTGAAGAAAGCAGAGAGAAATATATATAGAGAGGCACTTCAATACAACACGCTCTCCAAATCCTCTTCAGTTATCACGCATTGATAGCTATAAAAGAACTGAAGTGGCGTCAGATACTTATAAAGTCTTCTCTGAATAACTACAATGAACCCAATATGATGTGTTTCACCTTAAATCCAAATCGTGAGCACTGTCAAATTCATCTTGTCAGAGCATAAACGATTGAGATAATATTTTGACGTCGAAGCCTTCAATTGAAATTAATGAAAAGTAAGAAGAGAGAACGTGTAGGTGAACCGCATGCAACCCCTGAGGTGCATGCATTGAGAGCCATAAAGAACTACGATTAACACTTTACCAAGCGTAAGATGTTTATAAAGAGATTCGTATGAAATAAACAACGAACCTATCTCAATGACAAAGTCTTTAACTTTACTTCCAGCTCATTTAAAAATCTTTAACATTAAATCAACTTTACATAATTATAACTAAACAACCCTTATGAGTTACGCAACACATTCCCTAAACAATCATTCTGAATCAACATAATAGTAGTAATTTTCCGACACATACACTCGTTTGCACTGACGTTATTGGGTTCAAGGGAGCCGGTCTTGTAGACCGCGGGACATCGGTCAAAAAAGATCCTGGGTTCAAATCCTGCCAATCACTAATGGAATTTATCCATGTGATAATGCTTTGACCTTCTAGACCTAGCCTGAAGTAATGTGAAAAACTATTTTGGCTAGAACCTAGCATCCTACGATGAGATGGTTGTTCCAGAAACAATGTAAACCCGTTTGTACAACTTCTTCTACACTCTCTCATACAAGCTCCTATCTCATCAGCTGTGTTCCCAGGTCAAGTGCGGTTACCCCCTGTCACCCCGTCACTCAGGGAAGGTATAATCAGCTTCAGCACGTGGACTATTTGATTGCCCGCTGCCAGAGTACATCAGGAGGGGTATCTGACGTTGGCAAAGATCTGCACGTCTACTGGCCAGTTTACTTGATAACGGTTTACGAGTTATTTGGTGAAAATGTGTTTAATACTTCAGTGAAGTCATTGAGTTACAATCGTGTGAATGTCTTGTTTTGTAACTGTAATCCAAAATATCTCTCTAGGAGAAAATAGGAACTTAATGATTTTGGTAAGTTTGTCCGTGTTGTAAGTGAAGAAGTAACATTGACTAGTCTTTTTATTTCATTTGAAATATTTTTTAAAATAATTTGTGTGTAAATGTTACTAACGGATATCAAGATGCAAGCCTCTATATTGAAAAGGATGTTCTGTGCTTGAAAGACAGAATAAGTTTTTAAATAGTTATAAAGTTGTGGGGTGAATAGTATTAAAATCAAACTATGAACTATTAGGGTTTCTAAAGAGTTACATAACTAACTCCATTGTACAGTAACAGAAATAAGTAAATTAGAACTGAAGAATAGCTCAGTTAGCTCATTATCTAAGGATTGTTATTAGGCTAAAGATCACTTGGGCTAGAACAATGGCTATAATGGTTAGACGTGTTGAGTGTAATCACAACCTATCGCTGTTAACGCAATTAAGGCCTCTCATTTCTCACTAACCATTATCAAGATTGTAGTTGTACGCTTAAGCATAGTACCATTGACTATGAATCCTTAAGGATTCATAGTCAATGATAGTACTTTAATCCACCGCATTAATGGAGCCTTAAGAGATGATTTCAAACAGTGTATATGTTCAACGTTTATTATTTTTTTTACATGGAATAAACAGTTTACCAATTAATGAAACAATAAATAATGCAACAGACACGAGAATCTATGTTACGTTAATTTGATGAGCAAATTTTACTATTAAAGTAAACTAGCTTTTATTTTGGTAGAGTGAGTTGTATTTGTTTCTTTGTATCGCCTTATAAAACTGCACTATCAATAATCTTAAACAAGATTTACTGTAAAAATATTCACCGAATCTTTAATTTGTGCTTGTTGCTTGTTAATTATTTCACAGGAATTTAATGCAAAGGAAATTAGATAAATAAGACTACATTGGATGAACAATTGCATTAAATAATCACCGACAGCTAGCGGTGTCCTAATTTTTTTAAATATTTTTTATTATGATTTAAAATTTAGTGTTTTAAAAATAGTGTTTTTAATTTAAGTTTTTTTTAACGGTTTGTTTCAATTTGGATAGAATTAGCTGGAAGTTGCCATAAACTAACAGTTTTAATTACATCTATAGATTGTTAATATATACAAATATTTTTAAAAATAAACTCAAATTTATAAAACTGTGCGGAAATTTTTTTTGAATAGCCTACATAAAACGCTGTATCCAACCAGAGAAATTTTTTCTAAGTATTTCAAAAATCTTTTCAAATATTTTTAAAGTACATATTTTTTTACAAGTTTTTTGTCAATTTTTTTTAATATTAAAAGTCATGTTGCTGTATTTACCTGGGCTGGCCTGAGGCTCGCTCCTCTCACCGGCACATCACTACACTACACTATCCTGTTGGGGCTTTCACCACACGCCGGGTCACTCCCCCCCTCCCGTGTCCCGGATACACTGCCCCACATTCCCCCACCTCCTACGGGACGTTTCACTTTCCTCGGGGGTGAGCGTCCTTGACGGACCCACGGGCACCTAGTGGTATTGGCCGTCCTTGTACTTGAACGCTTAGATAAGAAAAATTAAAAAAACATATTTCCAAATACAAAAAAAAATTCTTAAATTATTTTTATGATGTTAAATTTTGAGTTGTGTTTTCAAAAGGTCAATTTTAAAATAGTAAACACAGTATATAGACGTATGAAATTCATAAATGAAAATATGGTGACAAAACCAAATTGATGATTTATCGACCTATTAGATTCATACTACTTTTGCGAAAAAGAGTGAAAGTAAATCCCTACCTCAAAAAAAACTCCTACCTATTGATAATAATTATCGATAAATAGTATTAATTTAATATTTTGATATCAAATATTTGCTTACTTACCGTTTAGGAGTGAAAGTAATCCAAGTGGGCACTACACCTAAGCACCACAACACTACAGAGCAGACTGGCGCGCCGCTCCAGGTACCTCGTTATAAATTGGTAAAGAAAGTCGGGGCTTGGTAGAGACCCCCGCCCCCCACCCCTCGTCCATCTGACGTCAACCCATTGTGGCGTAATAGTGATGCAACTGGCGGGCTTTGTATCCGCTTCCCCCGGAACTTCCCCCAAAATATTTTGAAACTGGAATACCCCGTGATACATGTCCATGAGGTGCTAAAATCCTATGGTTAGCCGATTTTTTTTGTAGGATGTTGTTATGAGTTTCTTTATTTTAATAATAATATTTTAAATAATAATTTATAAGAAATAATATATAAAAAAAGAACCTGTGAGGAAAGTTTAGAATGGAGGTAAAGTTCGTAATCGTAGGAAAGTTTCTTCACTGGAGCTTAGAAAATCAGGAAAATTTATAGTTATTAAATTTTGTTTATATCAAATCAAACAAAAGCCACACAACTTTATGACATTAGACATTTGCTTAATATTGGCTAATATAATTCTTCAGACCCGAAAATGAAATTATTTTACAAATTTATCCATCCTAAATTCAAGATCCTCCTGATCTTAAGCTAGAGAAACAAATAATGACCCAGTCATACACCATGCATTGGGTACTGTAACTAAAGCTCCCAATTCGGTCGTACAATTATGCTATAGCCTAAATCAAAGTTTCATAAAACATTTGTTTTAACACAGTTTAATTTCGAAGACATCCCTTATTTAAAATTTATAATTTTCATACTCAAAGTGTAAAGAATTAGCAAGAGGTTTTCACTATAGACCACGTCTTTAATGTTATATCAACCATTTCGTGCAGAAGAATTTTATTTCACAGGCTTCACTCGTTTTGCATGTATTATTTTGACACTCAAAGCGAGCAAGAGTTTTACATTCTAGATCACCTCTTAGGTGAACTCATGAGACAAACGTGTCGGAATGGTCATTGTCGTCATAATTTGGTGTGATTTATAATAATTATATAGTAGGTTAAGTTTTAATTTAATCTACCCAACTTTAAATAAAATGTAATGTTCCAACGTTGGTTAAAATGCCATGACAGTTTGAAATATTGAAGCACCAAAATGAACGATACTGTACTACAAAACATCATTTTACTTTGGCGTAGTAATCAGCAGTAGTAAATTTCCTTCACGAATATGAAAATATTAATTTTAACGTATAAACTAAGTGGTATGAAAGGTAATACTTCACCAGCCCCTTTAACAGTAATTGTGAGATATATTAATTGAATAACTTAAATGTTTTTCCACTAGTGTAAATATTTATAAAAGAATATTTTAGTAAAAGATACAATGTAATACGATGATAAGTACAGCACATTGAAATACCAATATAATTATGTACATTTTCCATCAGAACTATTATTCTTCATTAAAACTATAGATGAAGTTGACGACGGAGAAAAGAATATCTAATATCAACGATCCAATGATTCTTTTCACCTTCAAAAAATAAAAATAAAATACTGTAATATAAGGCATGAGCAAAAAGCGACACTCTTATTGCAGTATGACGAAAAAATCCTAAATATAACTGAAATATTTATACCAGCCTGTTTGCTTTGCCGTTTAACTTGAAGTCGTTTCGATATCCGCTCTTTTTGGTTCAAGAAATAAAACGTATCACTGTCCTTTATAAAAGAACAATTTGTGTATTTTCAATTAATACTTGTTTAAACCAAAAAGTTTGTGATTATTCAAAAACTCCCTCACGTTCTAATATAGAATAGCTATTTCACACTTTCCACAAAAACCAAATCATTTCTCAGTTTAAAATAATCGAGTCTGACATCTCCTTCAGATTGACCATGAAGGCAGCGGGTGAGGGCCCATTGTTTGGACCATGGGTAATTGTAGGACCCTATAATAACAGAAATCCTTACCCTAGCAGAAGGGGAAAGTGGCATCGGGAACTAATCATAACTTACTTTCTTCTTGGGCCTATTTCCAGCTACAATTGTGACACATTCCGTTTATAACGCCTTCACACTTATAGACCAGCGTCTATTCAAAACGTTGTGATGTTTCTACTTTCATTTGACACTTTCCGTCGAGTGAATTCTACACTGAATAAATTATTTGGGTCGAAAACGATTGCAACATCCTAGGCCACCGTGTGAACTTGTATTATACGGTTGGATTTTTTTGCTAGAAGCGGTCAAGGTTTGGTGGAATATCTTTGAAGATGAACCTTTTTGACAGTAATGCGGTCATGTGTTCATACCTGTCAAATTTTGCGGTTAAATCAAAACAAACAGACTGGCATATTCTTGGAATTGACAATATAGGCCTATTTTAAACTTACTCTAACCTACTTTTATAAAAGTACTTGGCAATTTAGAGAATATTTACTGTGAAATAGAGACGTGATTCCTAATTCCAAATCAACTAATGAATTTAATGAATACGTTGTTATTTAATTATTGTTTCTACATTTTAAGTGATAATTGCTTTGAAAATAGTTAATTATATGAGCAAATATTAAAATAGTGAATCTTCTTGCATAATTAATTTCGATCATTATATTAATAGAATAATGTGGTTGCTGTGATTGTGATACACATAAAATAACTGTTGGGACATACAGTAATGATGATTTACGTTTAGTTTTTGAAATTACTTAACATCTAAATATAGACCCGCCTTTTGCGTTTCAAGTAAGGGACCAGAATTAAATACCCTTGAGATGACGAGATACACCTTTAAAGACTAACGTTTTGACCCATTTAAATTATAACTTACAGCTAATTGTATTGCTGATAATTCATTAATGCAATCAGATAAGTTCACCAAGTACAAACAAGCAGTGTTGGGGAAGCTACTTTTAAAATGTAGCTAGCTACAACTACTGCTACATTTCCAAAAAAGTAGCTTAGCTACAGCTACACCTACAGTTCCAAAAAAGTAGCTAGCTACAACTACAACTACAATGAAATGTAGATACAGCTACAATTTTAGCTACTTTTCCAAAGACGTTAATTTTTATTCCACGCACATTAGGTAAATGTAAAATTAATTGCAACTACATTTTTATTGAACAAACATTTAAAAAAATGTCAGTATTGTATCTAACATTACTTGGAAAACAAATTATTCCTAGATTGTATTTAATTTGTTGGCATTATAAACCTTACATTACAACAACAGAACCAAATAGTTGGGTGTCCCATCATATTTAGTAATTATTTTTAAATATTGCATTATTTTTAAGCATCTTAAAATGTAATTTTCATTAAGTTCAAAGGACATACAACCAAACTATATATTAAAAGCTAATTTTATTAATTTAATATAGATTCATTAATAGATGTTTTATATCAACAATTAAGACCAATAAAACTGCAAAAAGATTATTTAAAAATACTTTTTGTGTTACAGAGCCTAGCCTACTGAAATTGGAGTTTATTGCCTTTCTTTACTTTTAATGTTAAAAACAACATTGCTATAACTTTTAAAGTGATAAATTACTTATTCTACGAATAACACTTTTCAATGTCAAGAAATCGTCCTTTATTGTCATTATGCATAGGGCAAATTGTGTTTCAACCTAGTTGGTAGAGAAAACAGTATTCAGCAACTTATCCTGAAATCGGCTTTTAATTTAAACATGATGAAATTTGTAAAGTAAAAATAACATGTAGGCCTACTTGGCTATGTAACAAGTTGGCTATAGTAGGCTTGTTCTTGCAAGGACTAAACATATATATTCATAATAATTGAACTTGGTATTAGTCTTAAACCATAGCCTCAGTCCTATACAAGAGCTGTTAGCAGGAGCAAACTATGCTATTTTTTCAATGTAAGTTTCATGTTATATGGAGATTTTTTCATTACAATTATCATGTAGTCTAGGCATATCTTAAATCTCATCAGGTAATTTCCTCTTTGCTAATTTAGTAAACCTTTGAAAAATCTTCGTAATCTAACCAAGGAAGGGCTTGTGATGATAAACCACAATCAACAGCTGAAGCAAAGGTTGATAGACCAGCTTTCTCATTATTTCAAGGTGTGTTGGTTTCCATTAAACCCCAAGTTGAAGCATTATCGATATAATAAAGAAACTAAATTGATTACTAATTCCCCTGTCCTGTCAATCACTTGCAAGCATTCAATTCAATAGCTTCTCTTGTCACCGGTACCGTTTAAACGTCGTCTGCATCTAGCGATTTTATTTTATCTGACAGTAATCATAGAGTAGTAAATTAAGGAAATGAGAGCCAAAAATGTGGATAACACTCATTTAATGGCCTCTATGTCCACACAACGTTGTAATAGGGAATGAAACGGCTGCAACCAGCTGTTTGAAGCCAAGAAAGTAGGCCTAATTTTTTTGAAAATCTCAGTTTGAAAGAGGTTGTTTCACGTAAGGTTGAGGTTATGATAAAAATCCTATCTCAAACAAATGTTAATGTAGCGAGAAAAGTAGCTAAAATTCCGCTACAACTACTTTAAAAATGTAGCTAGCTACAGCTAAAGCTACAAAATCTTAAAAGTAGCGTAGCTACAGCTAACGCTACAAAAAAAGTAGCACGCTACTGTAGCGTCGCTACTTGTAGCGCGCTACTTCCCAACACTGCAAACAAGATAACATTATACGATAGGGCAAGGAAGCAAGATTCGAGTTTGGTTTACAAAATGCAGTAGCCTAAATACTGAATGTTTTCTAATAAATTAGACAATGGAATTTACTAAATTAATTGATTTGATCTTAAATGGGAATTCTTTCGTAAGTAATACAACACGGCCCCTAAATGTATGATTGACAAAATGCCAGTTTGTTTTGATTTAACCTCAAAATTTGACACATATGAACACATGATCGCACTACTGCCAAATTGGTTCATCTTCAAAGATATTCCACCACACTTAACCGCTTCTAGCTAAAAAAATACAACTGTACGTAGCTTACGTCCGAATTTTATTTGGGATTGTAAATACTATGTATCCACAAATACGAAATCTACAACAATGAATTTATTCT